TCAGGCAACGTCACGCTGTGCGCCATGTTATTGTTTACATGAGATGAATTGCAGAATGGCAGATTAACAGTATTTTGTCTCTATCTTCAGGTTTTACACGCTCTATTTAGAAAGGCAGAGGCATCATGGTGTAATTATATGTAGTTGTTTTTTTCCTGTGTAATAATATTCAACATTGCTATCAATACATTTTTCAAAAAATGCCTCTGTTGAGCTCGAAGAGTTTTCTTCTTCTTCGGCCATGAGTACTTTCTCCTCACGTTCCCCTCTTTCCTCCTCTCTCTCTCTTTGGACTGACAATCATACACAAATATATTGTATTCAATTGGACGAAAAAATTACATTAATATGAAAAAAAAAATACTATTAAGATCACTAATAAAAAGTCCTCTCTCAGTGTACTTTCAAACAAAAGGCAAATAACCAAACCACATGTACATCTAATAAAAGATATAGATATTGAAACACTGATCCAACATTATCCTTTATTGACGGATCATTTCTTACACTTTTACCTAAATGTGGCTCCAGGGTTAAATATTGGCATATGCACATATGACAAAATAATCAGCTTCTCTCATTCCATTTCAAACAGGACAGTGGTAACAACAGCAGGCTACGGACAAATTTAAGTTTTAGATTTTAAATAGGCTGTATAAATGTCAATGGGAGCAACAGGAAGGTCAAATGTCGCTGATTTTACTACACAAGGACGAATTGCAGGGTAACAAACATCGTCGGAAAACACGTTTCCCACACTGCAGGTTACCTGGGTGTAATGTTTTTCAGCTAAAAAGAAACATGGTCTGACTCCTACCTAACTATATAAAGGGTAACTGAAGGTTAAATGCAGCTAATATGTCCTGTTTTAAACCAGGTACTCATACCACCGCTCAGCCACCATCGCTCTGGCAGAAAGGGAGCTAGAGCCAGAGCAGGGGAGAGGCGAGCTGGAATAAACCATTTTTAAAACCCTTGGTGTGGTGTGAAAAGCCAGGAGTGAAAAGGAGGCTGTAAAAGGCTGTGATCCATTAATAACTTGCAGCACAATGCTTCCTACAGTGAAATGGTCAAATATCATACTTTCCTTTTCTGTGATTTCTACTCTCTTTAAACCCATCCTGTGGGCCAGAAAGGATCTTTAGGAAAGCTATTTTATGTCCCACAGGCCACTTTCACATCCCCATTACATCATAACATTTTACTTGATAAATTATATTAAGGAAAATGGCATTACATGAATTTCTTCACAATAAGAAACCAGCTGGTCTATAGAAAGGTTGAACAGCATGAGTACATGCTTACCACTATTTTTATTTCACACTGTAATCCTTGAAGTGGATGCCGTGGGCAGTCAGCCAATAGGTTTACACAATGGCAGCTACAGGAGAGCTCCTTATTCCAAGGTATGTGCAGCTGGTCATTGTCAAGAACAGCCCAGCAGTTTAAAGGAGCTCCAAACCGTAAGATCGATGTCTACCAAAGGCTTTGAGCAGTTGCATAAGCTGCATTGTTTCCTTCCAGACAAAGCAACTGCATCACTGCATCTCATCCACTTGTCAGCCTCCCATGACGATGCATGTATGCAGAATAGCATGGAATGCATCCTGACATTCATGTTTGGTTAATGTACTGTGTCATGATTCAATAACCAATGTGCAGCTTAAGTAACATAATAGCTAGTTGAGTGCTGCCATCTTGTGGCGTAGCTGTAAAAGCTCTCATCTGTCTCTTAACAGTGTTAACAGTAATTATTGATGAGCACCAGTCCTCACTATATGGGTTAAAACAGACACGGTAGAGGTGGGCCATTGAGGAGACTACAGCTTTACCAAGTGCGTATTTGTTTTCATTTTTCATATTGATTTTTGCATACATAGCAGCAGAGACATGGAGTCTCAGACAGGTAACATGGGCTTTACACACAACAGTTTACATTCTTCTTGCCCAGTCTGTAAGTGATGAAGCTATGCATCCAATTTCATGCCAGAACTCTGGACAGTGGGGTCCATGCAGGCTACAAAATAAACGATCTTCCATTTATTTCTATTCTTTAATTAAATTTCCTACTCAATTAAGTTGCCATGCGAAAGAGTCTTTGCTTTTACATTGACGTGGATTTCGTTTTGTTAAAAGCAGGCTGGTTTTATGGTGTCATTCTTGTAAATCAGTGTCTATGGAACACCAAAGGGCAATCCAAAATTTCAAGGTCCACCAGTAATGTATAGCTGCATGAGTTCTTCTTTTGATTACTTAAAGATGAAAGCAGTTTGAGAGCTTGTTTGCATCATCTTGAGCATCCTGATGGCAGCAACTATTTGGTAGTTTTTTTTTAGAGCATTGCTGCTACTGCTTAAAGATTCTTTGGCTTTACAAGAAGCTCCACCTCAATATCACTTTCACACAGCCCAACAAAGCTGCCTGCGGTTTGACATTCAAGTTTCTCCTTCAATGGATTGTTTGGATTCTGAGTGACTCATTAGTCGGTTTGCTTGGCACCACACCAGCATCTACCAAATTCTTCCAACAGATGACGCACTCATTACTTCCTAATTCCCACATCCAGACCTGTGTGAACGGAATGGCGTTTCCTTTGATGCTTGTTTTTAAAGGACTTCTTGGACAGAGTTTGGCCCAGTATAAGAAATGTATGACACAAAGTACTGACACAGTAAATTCTTTTGATTGGTCATGTTTTGTGCAGTTGTATTTTGTAATAAAAGTGCATGGTTTACCCAAAATCTCACAGTGTACTTGGTTAATAAACTATAAATGTCTGATTCTTAATGATTCTAATATTTACTAAAAGGTGGGGCAGTGGTTAGCAGTGTTGCCTCGAAGAAGGTCTTGGGTTTGAACTCACTGGCCAGGCTGGGCCTTTCTGTGTGGAGTCTGCACGATCCCCGAGTACTCATGCTTGACATAGATTGGTGACACATCCATGGTGTACCCTGCCTAACGCCCTGTTTCAGCAGGGATAGGCTCTGGCACCCTCGTTACCCTGAATTGGAGAAGTAGAAGAAAATAGATGGGCCTTACTAATGGTTAGGGCTGGTAACTAGAGGGCTGTTAGGTAAATGCCACAACAATTTTCCAAACACAAAGTTGTTGTTTTGGGGGGGGGTTTATTGTTAATCTAGTAATAATTAAATTGTCAAATTGTTGTTTTTTAATAAGTTAAAAAACAACAATTTAGCTGCAGACAAAACAAGAAATTCTGAGAGTTTTCTAACATTTTATATGCAAATAATTCATTTATTAGGTCACTGCAGGACCTACAAACATGGGTAAGGCCAAGTATGATGAGTGCTTGGTTTGCATACGAGTTCTCACTTAACTTTGAGCACAGAGTACTGATGAATAACAGCTCTGCCTGCCAATTAACTGTGAGCATTTTAACATAATTGTTTTATTTAAATAGTTTTTATAGGCCTGGAGTCATATCAGACCCATAAAACTGCTCTAAGAGTGTGTGTATATATGTGTGTGCATGCATGAGTTTGTGTGTGTGCTGCCATGCCTAATTTGCGGAGCCCTGGGCAGAACACACCTGCCAGTTTGAATAAATATTTTTGTTTAGCTGACCCCGTTGTGATATTTCCAAACTAAAACTGCATTTTAAAGATTCTGTAGGGATGTTGAAAGGGCATCTCTGTTAAATATTCATAAAAAGGCCTGTGGGGAACGCCTTCCTCCAGAATCCAAAATATAATATTGATGCCGTCCTCTCCCCCTCTTTCTCTCATAACCTCGATTCCCAGCTTACTGTAAAAAGTGGGTCAAAAAAAATGTTGGGAGGGCAGCCCTAGAAGGTTTACTAGCAGTACTAGAAATACCCCTCAACAAAAAAAACCCAAAGCAAAATAAACAAAATAGAGCACTTTCAGCATAATAAAGTTGAACTGCACCTACGTAATGAAGGGTTTCTCTCTTTAAATTCAATTCAATTTAAATAGCGCCAAATCACAACAATAGTCGCGTTAAAATGATAACGTGAAAGCCCAATAATCAAACCATCCCCTTTGAGCAAGCACTTGGCAACACTGGGAAGGAAAAACTCCCTTTAAACAGGAAGGAACCTTTGGCAGAAGCGGGCTCAGGAAAGGGAGCCATCTGCTACAATCGGTTGGGGATGATGGGAGAAAATACACATTTAAATATAAGTCCACGTGAAACCCGCATATAAACCTGATTTCTTGTGCATTGCTCATGCTTGTGTTTCACACATTCCTGTTTGCATTGCTCAGAAATGTCCCAAAGGTGTCTCACACAAGCAGCAGCAGGATCTGCCCAATTCAATTGTCTTATTGAGCGAGTTCATACCAACCAATATTAGCTGTCAGTTTCTGTAAAATTAACTGGGCAGTGCATGTCTATTCATTCTGACGTGTTCATAGATGCAGAATGCACTTCCTTGTGTTTGACTGTACTGACTAATGTTATCTCTTACTCAGTCTTTAGATTTTAGATTATTTTTTTTGCACTTGACTGAAAGTGTAAAACACGAGTTTAAAAGCAGAAGTCTCACAAACCAAAAGGAACCGAAGAACTCTGAGTTCTCTTTTATTAACAATAAAGTAAGCAAGACTGCGGTTGCTTTTTATACTATTGAAGATTACCATATTGGCATATTGGCAAAAGCATCACACACATCTTCAAAGTGATTCCAGATAGCAATGTAATCAGTCATCTTGAAACACCTTGTGTCTTCCTCGAAGACACAAGGTGTTTGTTTAAGTCCGCTGCGTGGCCACATAGATAACATACCTCTTACTCAATGTATGAATTCATTCTCAAAACCTCAGCTTGAGCACACTCAACCTGTCCTGCATGGGCTCTGACCTGCATTTGCTTCTACATGGATAAAACAAACTCCTTGCTTTCCACCAGTCTCTTGTTGAACTTGAAAAACCTGACTGACAGCCACAGAAACACCTAAGGAAACTCAGCACTGCTCCACTTTGTCTCTGGTTAATGCACACTAGAGGTGTTATATGTGACTCACCCTCAGTTGATAGGTCACTTATGCAGACATGTTTTTAAAAAATAGAGGGGAAAAAAGGATTTTGGAGCAGTGATTGA